AAAACTCATTAAAATCAATTTACACAGCAGTTTAAAAAATTCAGTTAAACGGAAAAACACGGAACCACAATCTGTATCTGGCAACTTGCACTTCCTGCTCAGTTAAATTCGGAGCATCTTAAACTGACAATACCGAGATGTCCATGCAAGAAAACCTACTGCATTCAAAGGCTACGTTATTTTACACTTTAGGGACCCCATCAGTTCTAGTGATTCGGGAGAGTAATCATGTTAACCAGTAGAAACAATAAGCCTAAAATGCAATTTTACTAAGCACGGAGTGATACCACGAAAAGGCTGTCAGCTGTTCTGATATTTGCGATGAAAAGGTGAATAGCAAGTTCATTAAAATATATAATTACGGAACTGCCAAAGAAATGAATGAACCTTGAAATACAGTTTTTGCCGGGTTGTGGATCATTGGGATTATAATGGTCATCACCAACGGAGCGCGGGTACTGGCTCCACAGCGCTTCCTCTTCGTCAAAATCGCGACTGCTCAGCCGAACTGGACCTGGTATGAAGACATCTACATCTCCATTGGCAACGCGAAGACGATATGCACCTTCAAGCAAAAATCCTGAAACGTATAAGCGAGCGCATCAAGCAAAAAAAGCTTCACCGCCGCCAAATGGACGGGAAAGCTCTACGCTTAATTTGCACCATTAGCGTTAATGTACTATACACTTACGACAGCTGGCTATTTTAGGGAACAATTTTGCGAGGAGGAATTTGCTTCACACGAGTGCCAACAATGAAACAACACCGTACACAAACAAGCCCACTCGGAAAAATTTCTAGCTCCTACCGTATTCCGCTCTCAGTTGCAAACGGAAGAAACTGGAACTGGTTCGAGTGACTGCACTTTGCCAACGGTAACTAACCGCTTCTTGTCTCAGCGCCTCGCATAAATGACCGTTTATTTTCTGACCCGCTAGGTAAAATGGTATCATTTACTGTCGAAATGCGACAACGGATCGTCCCGGGATTGGTTTTCCCATGAATCTCGGTTCGAAAGCTTACGAGTTAACTACACTCGACCAGTGCCTCAAGTATCGTGAGAGCGAAGCTCTGGCACTAGCGACTGTTACTGTACAGCAGGGTCCCCGGCGCTGCTGTTTTCTGCAGCTGTATTGGGAGCTTGGATAGGTTTCAATGTTGCTGTGGCTTCGGAGGGTGTTTCGGAGGAAACGGTTTTTTGACTTTCTTGCGCATTTCAGTTGGGAACACATTCCTGTGGATTCTAGGTTCTAGATGCGCTTCATGTTCCAGTTGCATTGTTTCTGTTGTGACTGTGATTCTTTGTTGTTTGTTTTGGAAGGCTTCGTGGTAACGGGAAAAAATCTGAAGCACCAGCAACAAATTTTAGTCCTTTTCCCCGTTACTAGTGCATCGGCTGGAAATTAGCAGTCGCGAAAGAAGCACTTTTCTTTAGGAAGAATTCGGCGAGCTGCTGGCCCTACAGTGACTTGCTTACAAAGGTAAGAAGAATTGCCACAGTCTGGAAACTGTAAAAATCGGCAATTACTGGAACTCGGTTCAGCTCAGCCACTCTTTAGAAACGCTCTCGTTTTTCTGTTAGTGCATGGGTGTCGCTTGTCTCACTGCTTGACATGATACCGCCTAGCGTTGGGTGGCATTTCCCCAGTGCTATCCAACGCTCGGTGTTTGGATAACGCGGTTGAGAGTGGTGCGTGGTAGACGGAAAGAGTGGCGGATGGTGTAGTGTTTTAAGCCGCAGACACCCGAAAGCAGGAGAGACTGAAATACTGGTTGGTTGGGGAGTGCAGTTGAACGAGGCTGGGAAGGAGCCCAGATGTTCCTAGAAGACAGGAACTAAGGACAGGATAGAGGAGAAAACAAAGAGTACTAGTCGGAAGCACGAGCCAAAAACTAAAGACGGCAGCGAATAGACAACAAAGCACTACAAGCAAAAGTAAATTAAAGCAAACCTGCGCCTATGAATAAAAGCAAAGAAAAAGAAAAATCAAAAAAAAAAAGGAAAAAAAAAATGAACTTATGAACAAAAGCAAAAGCGCAGGAATGGATATTACCCTATAAAAACCCGTCATCAGTGGGGGAATTGCATATTTATGAAGTTCATGCTTAGGTGAAGTTGACAGCGAATAAGTTCGATTGTATTTACCGAAACATACCACAAAATAATTCCAGTGTATTCTCCTCAGCAGCTTGCGACTGCGCACTGTACTTATACCTCTGTTTTTTGCCTTCGTAAGTTCACAGAAGCAAAGGCTAACTCCATTCCCATGCATCCAGTCTACCCTTCTTTTTGCTCATTTCATATCCTACAGTGGACTTTTTCGCTCTCAACTGTACCTAAGCATCAATTCCATAATCAGGGAAACCCCTACTGAAGATGGGTTTATAGGGAAATTTCCACTCAAGTAGGTTCACTTTTTTTGCTTCTCTCCATATGTTTAGATTTTTCTTTTTTTGATTTTACATTTTCTTGCTTATAATCGCAGGTTCAGGTTTGTTTTAACTTTCTTTTCTTTGTACTTCTGTTGTCTCCGCCCCTTTACTGCTGTCTCCAGTTCCTGCCCCGATCTGGTGACCTGTATCCTCATCCCTCTTCTCTGCCCTGCCCCCAAATCCCGCCTACAAAGCAACATCTGAGTTCCTCTCCATCCCCACTCCCTCTCCCTTCCAAATACATGTAACCTAGCCAACCAACAAAAGACCTACGTCATGCAGCCACTAAATTCCCCTATCCCAGCCTCACTGCTACTATTTCGAACCCCTGCCGACGAAGTCCGCCTCCCCATCCTACCTACCACATCGAACATCCGTTACTCACTGTGGAGTAACGTTAGCCGCCGTCACAACAAGGAAAATCTTTCGCGAATCGTGTAAGAGCCGGTGAGTCGAGCCAAGTCGAATTCCTGCAACTGCTCGAAAATCCAGACAAATACAATAAACAGCAACGCGCACCAGGCTAGCCGGTGCGATCATGCGTTTTGTGCAATTCAGCCTATCGAACGATTGCCTACTAATGATTTCCACTACTTTGTAGTTTTGTCTATGCAAAAACAGTTCGGAAATTGGAAAATATTTAAAAATTTCACGCACCAACGCATGAAAGCTGAATTCGAAACCATGAAGGGTGAATATCTTTCCGTGATCCCGAGCTAATAGTTTACCCGCCAAAATTCTCACGAGGCCGTAGTTGATACTCAAGAGCGAGAGAACGCTGAATTTGAATAGACAAAGTTGAGCGTGGGCAGGGGGTTATTACCCTAAAATTTCAGCTTCCTAGACTCCTTGCTTCCCGAAATAATAATTTACCCTTAAAAACCTTCACTAGCCCGTACGTGATACCTGAGAGCGCGGGAACGCTGAATTTGAATAGGCAAGGTTAAGCGTGGGCAGGGGGTTAGCTCCCTAAAATTTCAGCTTCCTAGACTCCGTGGTTCCTGAGAAACTAATTTACCCGTAAAAACTTTCACTAGCCCGTAGGTGATACCCGAGAGCGCGAGAAGGCTGAATTTGAATGGAAAGGTTGAGCGTGGGCAGAGGGCCATTACCCTAAAATTTCAGCCTCTTAGACTTCGTGATTCCTGAGATACTAATTTAGCTGTAAAAAAATTTCATGGGGCCGAACATGTTACCCGCGAGTAAGGAAAGGCTGAATTTAAATTTGCCGGATCATCCGCTGGCGGGGAACACTATACCAAAATTTCAGCCGCCTAGCTTTTGTGGTTCCCAAGTTGAAAGTGCGAGACAAAATGTGGGACACACACACATACACACAAACACAGACAACCCCGTGACAGTATGTTTTGCAACGCTGTTACAGAGCACAAAACGCATAAAAACTCGGCTCGGCTCGTTTCATACACGAGCTGCAAAAAATCTTTTCTTTCAACGTCAGGTAGAGCTGCCCCACGGCGGATGGCGACAGTTTGAATGTAGCAGGTGAAAGTAGGAGTGGTATGTGGCGGGGTTC